GCGGCCAGCACCAACAGTGTCTGACGAGAGGCGTCTCCGCCAGCAGCTTGTGCAGGGCAGCTTCTCGTGCCGATGAACAGCTTCAACTTCAATAGCGTGGAGCATGTGTCGCACATCAACAGCACTACCCGGAGCTCGGCTGCAGCATCAGCGGGTTGCAGTGGCGACACACTCGCGGCAATAGCGGCGGATGAGCTGCAGACGACTAGCAGCAAAGGGCTGCTTACCCATTCGTCTGCCGAGGTGAGGTGTTCCTTACAAGTCAGATCCGTTTGAGCGAGTGTTGTGCTCTTACTCTCTGCTGCACCCAAGTCCTGACTTCTTTTCACCCTCGTATCTTATGCACCCTTATTACCCTGTGCTGCCCCCACTCCTACACCAGGTGGCACACGGAAGCCGCTGAGCATGGCGGCAGAAGCTTCACCCGCCCTCCTGCAACTCCACCTGCTGCCATGCAGCAGCATCTAAGCGGCTCACGAGCTGGTGGTGGACACCAGCCGCAACTGGTGGTGAACTGGAGCAGATACAGCAGTGCCTGGCGAGCGGCAGCAACACTATTAACACCTGTGGGGCGGTAGCACTTCCAGCAGCGCCTGGCACATTGCAACACCGTGGTGAGTGAGTCTCTAGCTTTCTCCCCCTGTCTCACACTATAATGGTGCCTTGTACCTTTTAATGCCTTCTCTTGTTCTGAACGCAAAGCTACTCATGCCTGCTTCCACTTGTGATGCTATCCCCTTTTCACACCAGCTGACACACGGGAGCAGTTGCAGCCCGCGGACAGCAGCAACTCGCGGCCTTCTCCTGCACCAGCAGCACCCGGTTGCACACTGCAGCAACAACAGCACCTGGCCTCCGTCAGCTCTAGCAGCTCCTGGCAGAAGCGAGGCGGACGGCTGCAGGCGCATGGCAGCAGTGGCGGCAGCACCTGGCCTCCATCAGCACCAGCAGCATCAACAGCTTCTGACGCCCTGCACCAGCACTTGGCGGACTGCAGCACCAGCAGCTGTCGTCCGGCACAGCCAGCAGCAGCTGCTCCATGGTAAGCTGGCAGACGGTGGCTGCATCTCATGCAGCTCCAGTGCGGCTTCGTACACTTCCGCAGCTCCAGCAGGTGTGCACATACATTAGGTTGCCTTCTGCCCTTGATCAAAGTAGTGCATCCACTCATGGCTGTGCGCTTCACTCAGCTGCTGGCGCATGACATCAGCATCAGTGACCCTTGTTGTGTAAATGAACTCCCAGATCTTGTGCCATGTTGACCGTAGGTCGTTCCTTTGGCACCTGACTGCCGTAGACTCTGATAATGAAACTGAAGTATGAACTTCTGCCACCCACTCCAGCGTATAGAATGCTCCACACCCCACTCCCCCTCTCACCCATGTGTTTGTGATCATGCACTTGTGCAAACATGTGCACATGTGCAAACACATGAGTGAGACATGTGGAGCTACGTGATGTTCGGTTGTGCAGCATACCCCGAGAAGCCCGCTCGTGTGAGTGTTGTACCAGCATCATTGTCTTGCTGAACATACGCAGATATTGCTTCACGTGGAATCGGTTCGACGCCGCACACGCGGCTGCAGGTGATGTCGTGTCCACCGGTGGGTGTGGGCGAGTCCTTGGTCATGTTTTTCAGCTCCTTGTACGTCAGGGCAACCATGCGCACGCCCGTAGGTGCATATCCCACCTTGTTTCCAGCACCATCTTCATCCTCCACTGATAGAGAGACGCCTGCTGCAGGTAAGCCATTTGCTGCAGCACCTCCTTTTCCTTTGGCTGCATCGACCATAGCAGCTGCATCATGTCCAGGGAGGTTTTGCTTCGCAAAATCTGGTCCATCTTCTCCATTTCCTCGTCCCCCTGAAGTCCAGATCCATGGGCAGAATCAAGTGCTGGCTCATATTCCACCATGAGCACTCCATGCACGTTCTTGCCTAGTCCAATCCGTACACCCCCATCTCCATCAGGCATGGAGATTTCGGTGTCTCCACCATCGTTGGTGTGAATCCGAGCTCCCTTTTGCAGTAGCTGACAGTAAGAGAGGAGATTGGACTTCAAACCAGGTACGTAGAGCACGTCGGTGTAGCGCACCATTGTCCCATCGGTTGCATGTACTCTGATTGTGCCCACCATTGAGCTGTTCAGAGTGCTCCCATCAGCAAGCTCCACTTGTACTGGTTCGTCCAGCTCCTTCAAACCCTCAAACCATCTTCTGTCTAAGGTCATATGCTGGCTGCATCCGCTGTCCAGCAACCACAGAGAACCTCCAACACTTGGTGAGGTCGTCTGTGACGATCGAACCGTTGCAATACATGTAACCGTCCGTTTGTTGTCTCTCTCGGCTGCCCCTTGCTGCTTTATACCATTGTTGTCACGTTTGGGGCTGCCACCATTTCGAGGAGAGATCGAACGGCTGTTGCTGGTACGTCGGTTGGTCCTCCTTCTGTTTTGTTGTTCCCACCCCGGTGGTGACCATCCTGATGGTGCCATGTGACACTTGTAGAACGGGTGGCCCAGTTGCTTGCAAAACCAACACATGAGAGATGAGCGTCCGCCCTTTTCCATCATTGCCATTCATTTTCTCTTCGGTTGTCGCTTGCTGTCCTCTGTTTGAAGCTGCAGCATTCATGGTCCCGTAGGACTGATGTTCCACCATATCAACGCGATCACGTCGCATCCTTTGTCTCATGCGCTCCATGCTCCATGCAGGATCCACTCCCATTAGTGGACGAGACGCGCGAGGAGGTATGATGCTTTTGCCAAGAAGGTAAGATCCGCCCATCACAGGGGCTCCAAGGGGATGACCGTTAGTGGCAAGACGTCGTAGTGGGGGAGCACCAGTAGCGTAGGATTCAACTCCTACACCTTCCACGCCCACATCATCCAATTTGCCACCCCCTTCACCAATTTGCATGTTGAACTTTGCTCTCAGTGACGTTCGGAGTGCCGATGGTGCCCTTGCAATTATGCTCTCCAGGTGCCCGTATTGAGCCATGATGGCCTCTTCAAATGCCTCGTATTTATCGTCGACTTCATCATCGAACAGCGCCATGCCTCGATCCAATCGTTGCCTCTTGCTATCCAATGTCTGTCCAATGTGAATGATGTAACAGAGTTCTGACCAAATTTTGGCAGCATGCCCCCTAGAGTAGCTCTGATACCATGCTAAAAAGGCATAGTGACGTCGTAGCGGAAGCCTTGTTTGTACAAGAGAATAGCAAGAGAAACCTTGCAACTGAAAGGATTCAAGACAATGGAATTGAGAAATGAAACCACACAGCAAGGAATTTATGCTACCAACTACCCTGCCCTATCTCTCCACACCAATAATTGTACCACCAATAATGGTCACTCTAAAAATGGAGTACCAATAATTCTACCCCCAAACCTCTAGACTCCAATAATGCAGCCCCTACAATAATTGTACAATTATTGTAGGACCTAGAGGCTTCTATAGAGGACTACAGTGAAATCTAACAGCATATATGTTTACTTATGTTTCTATTTCCAACAGGTGGCAATTGAAGCACGTGTTAGGTCCACATTGGCGCCTCCACACCGTTGATTGTGGGCTGGCGCGGCGGTCCACGAAATTGGGTGCCCTCCCGGGAACTCATTCTCGCCCACCACATCAGTGAGTCCGTTGATTCGGCTACCTAGACGGCATCGAGGAAATCGCGTGGCCTCGCCCGTCGCACCTCGTACTGTACCTCATATTTGAGGCCCGCGACATATCGGTCGAGCCGCTCCGCATCGCTCATGTCGTCCACCTGGTCAGCCAAATTGCAGAACGTTGCTGTGTTGTCTTGGACCGACACCACCTGCTTCCAGGTACGCAGCTTCATGTGAGCAGAATCGTGCTTCAGCTTCAGCTTCCGAGGCGGATACATGCTCGAATCTGGCTCGCAGCGCGGCGCCCCACTCCATCCATGTGCGTATCGTGGCCACTCCGAAGATTGAAGTTGCTCGTTGCGTGACAGATGTCCAGGTCCCGTCGTTCGCACGTGGCAGCCCTGCCGGAGCCCCCTCTGTCCGAAGAGTCCGCTTCCACTATTCCAGCGCCAGTCCTCGTAACAGTGACACTGCAAAATTAATACGAGTGACATCATCAGCAATTTGCACAGCATTAAAAAACACCTCTACGCCGAACAGCCATGCAGAGCCAGTGACGGTTTTGTCGTTGGGGTTGAACGGGGGTGGGTTCGTCGGTTTTATCTTGACAGTTGTTGAGACTGTTCCTGCTGCATGCATCGGGGGCGGCACTGAAGCCATCGCCGAAGTTGTTGCTGGTGACCGTCGTTGCGTCGTCTGTGACTGTTGCCTCTGCGCCGCTTGTGCTGTGAAAGTTTAGAAGAAAGAAGAGGGTTGAACTAGCAAGAATGGGGATACAAATAGCAAACCCTAGAAGGGTTGTACTCGCTATGGAGCACCCCACTACAGGCTAGAGCATAATATTCTGACACACCCCTATAGCCAAAGTGGGGTGTAATCAGCAGAGTAAGCAAAGCAGTACAAGCTCAGGGTGGATCACAATGTCACCACACATTCTGAGCACAAGTTCAAGAAGCAATAGTTTAAAGTTAACAATTATGAGCAAAGCTAGTGGTAGTCACAACTGGCAAGTGAGGAGGAGGAGAGAGAGTGAGAGGAGAGGAGATAAGAGGTGACGGATGAAGCTGCAGACACACGGGCAACAGGAGGCACACTGGCACAGCGGCTACCGGAACAACGCTCCGGAATACTGGAGTAACTGGCCCCGCGGCTAAAGTAGAGGCAGACGAGCAACGGACCCACAGGCGGCTGGCACAGCTGGCTACGACTGGGCTACCGGACGAAGTCCCCGGAATACAGGTGCTGCTGGCGACACGACGGCAACCTCCATTCAGCTTCCCCAAACTATCCCACTCCCCCTGGCACATACCCGCTGCTACACCGCTAGGGTCACTCACACCCCACCCCCTAGCACGACTCCGTCAACTCCCACACACCCACCCCCCTCAGAAGCAGCTGCAGCAGTGGGAGACAGAGGAGGAGGAGGAGCAGGGGAGACCACACATCCGCCACCCCCCAACTCGCCACCCCCAAACCCGAACACAGGGCAGGGCAGGATGGCGGGTAGGGAGGTTACGGGGGGGGGGGGGGCGACGCGCGGCCTCCCTGGGCGCCAAAGTAGGCGGCAGAAGGAGCGACGCTCGCCCCCACCCCCACGTCGCCCCTCCCGTCGCGGCCTCCGAAGGAGCCGCGACAGGCGACGGGAAAAGAGGGGGGGGGGGGCGGTGCACGTGCCCCTGGTGCGCCGCGGCTGACGACGATGCATGGCCCGGGCGGGGCCGGGGCCGCAAGTGGCGGCGACGGGGCCGCTGGCGGCGACGACAGGGGCCGATGCGGGCGGGGACGGGGTCGTTGCCGGCGGCGACGAGGCCGCTGCGCGCGGCGACGGGGCCGCTGCGGGCGGCGACGGGGCCGATGCGGGCGGCGACGGGGTCGCTGCGGGCGGCGACAAGGCCGCTGCGCGCGGCGACGGGGCCGCTGCGGGCGGCAACGAGCCCGCTGCAGGCGGCGACGGGGCCGATGCGGGCGGCAACAGGGCCGACGCGCGGGTCCCCGTTGTCAAACATTATATATGTTATGCTTGTGTAGGCTACAGTGGGTTAGCCTATAGGGGGTACACAATTCTAGGGTTTCCTACTTGTACTTATTTCACTGCTAGTTCATTCACTCCTGTTCGCTTATTTTCACATGGTATCAGAGCGCAGCCTCACCCGCACCTGAGGAAGCAGACTCACTAGCACCCAGAGCAGCAGCCTCACCAGTAGCTAGAGCAGCAGGTCCTATACCTGGGTCAGGCGGGACGCACAGGTGACCTGCACGGTCAGCACTAGTAGGCAATGCATACATGGCAGTGAGAATAGCATCATAGTCAAGAGCATATATATCTACCCTCTGCCTAAGCAACTCCACCCAGTCGGGAAGCTCAGCCTCGTCGCCAAACACGGTCGCCAGGGAGTTGACTACTTTCAGACCTTCTCTCCCACCCCGAAGATGACCACTCTTCAGGTGCTGCTGCACATAGCCGCTCAGCGCGACTACGAGCTTCACTCTCTCGACTTCAGCACTGCGTTCCTGCAGGGTAGCCTGCACGAGGAGATCTGGCTTCGCCGTCCACCTGGCTTCACTGGGACTTTCCCTCCTGGCACCCAGTGGAGCCTCCGACGGCCAGTCTACGGTCTCCGCCAGGCACCGCGTGAGTGGCACGACACACTGAGGACTACGCTTGCGGCTCTTGGGTTTGCTCCTTCTACTGCTGACCCGTCGCTGTTTCTGCGCACCGACACTTCACTGCCGCCGTTCTACATCCTCGTGTACGTCGACGACTTGGTCTTTGCCACAGCGGACACTGCTGGACTCGCCTACGTGAAGTCCGAACTGCTGAAGAGACACACGTGCACAGACCTGGGTGAACTGCGCAGCTACCTTGGCTTGCAGATCACTCGGGACAGAGCACGCCGCACCATTACCTTGACTCAGTCACACATGGTGCAGCAGGTGCTTCAGCGCTTCGGCTTCACGTACTCCTCGCCTCAGGCCACTCCTCTGCCTACTCGCCACTCACTCTCAGCTCTGCCTTCGGATGAGTCCGTAGAGTCGAGTGGTCCGTATGCAGAGCTTGTTGGCTGCCTCATGTACCTGATGACCTGCACACGACCTGACCTTGCATATCCTCTGAGCATTCTTGCACGCTATGTTGCTCCTGGGAGACACAGACCAGAGCACATGGCTGCAGCGAAGAGGGTATTGCGCTACCTGTGCAGTACGTCGGGCATGGGGCTTGTGCTTGGAGGGCGGAGTCCAGTGGTCCTTACCGGCCACGCGGACGCTTCTTGGGCTGACGACCAGGCTACGCAGCGGTCGTCACAGGGTTACACCTTCAGCCTTGGTTCCGACTCTGTCTTGTGGCGGTCTACTCGCTCGTCTTCGGTTCTCGGCTCCAGTTGTGAGGCTGAGATCTACGCCGGGGCCATGGCTGCACAGGAGCTTCGCTGGCTCACCTACCTGCTGACTGACCTTGGAGAGCCGCCTCGTTCTCCTCCAGTGCTGTACGTAGACAACAAGGCCATGCTGGCCTTGTGTCGAGAGCAGCGCTTGGAGCACAGAACGAAGCACATTGCTCTCCGCTACTTCCTTGCTCGTGAGCTGCAGCAGCGTGGTCAGTTGCGACTTGCGTACGTGGCCTCTGAGGCCAACACTGCTGATGTGTTCACCAAGGCACTCGCGCCTTGTGACCATCAGCGCTTTTGCACCCAGCTGGGTCTTGTGCCTGTCTTGCCTCACTTGCTCTCCTCTTGACTTCACTTGTACTGTGACATATATATATACCTGCTCTTGCTTGTCTAGTTTTATATATATGTCTGTACTCCTGCATGTGAACTGGCCTCTGGCCCTGCTCTTGTGCTCGGACTGTGTGGTGACTTTGTGATCCACCCTGAGCTTGCTTTGCTTTGCTTGACTGGTCTTGTGACCCCTTGTTCTCCCCCACTTTGCCTATGGGGGTGTGTCAAACATTATATATGTTATGCTTGTGTAGGCTACAGTGGGTTAGCCTATAGGGGGTACACAATTCTAGGGTTTCCTACTTGTACTCATTTCACTGCTAGTTCATTCACTCCTGTTCGCTTATTTTCACACCCGTCGCCCGTCGTAGCGCCTCCCGAGGGCGACGCGCCGAGTGACGGGGCAGAAGCCCGCCGCGCGCCTCGGGGCGCACAGCGGGCAGAGAACCGCCGCGCGCCTCGGGGCACACGGCAGGAAGAAAACCGCCGCGCGCCTCGGGGCACACGGCAGGAAGAAAACCGCCGCGCGCCTCGGGGCGCACGGCGGGAAGAAAAACTGCCGCACGCCACGGGGCGTGCGACACAGAGAGTAGCAGTAGCAGTTGCAGCGGAAGCAACGAGGTGGTGAGCCCACCCACAGGATCGATCCAAGAGGATCGACCTACTCTGATAGCATGTGAAAGTTTAGAAGAAAGAAGAAGGTTGAACTAGCAAGAATGGGGATACAAATAGCAAACCCTAGAAGGGTTGTACTCGCCATGGAGCACCCCACTATAGGCTAGAGCATAATATTCTGACATGTGTCTGTTGTTGCGGCTGTGGCTCTTGTTCCTGCGTCCCTTGTGCTTGTTGCTGGCGTGCCGCCCACTCATCTTCAGCGTCCAGCGAGCCCTGAAGCTTGCTAAGGACATCGTCGTTAGGTGTGAAGCTGCTACATGTTTCATCCATGGCGGGCGACTCCTGACGCGATTTACCTCGCGTCTGGCGTGGCTCGACGTTTTCCACCTTCAAGCGCTCCATATCTGCAGACATGGTATGCAAGTTGGCTTGCATCGCCCGAAATTGTTGCATGAACTCGTTGAACTCAGCCTGTTCCATGTTTCTCAGGTTTCTACTAACGGGCAGCGGGTTAACAACGATTTTTTTTACTTCGATGTAGGCGCAGACGCTATTAGTCGGAGTGAGATAATCGTATCTTTTTCTCAGACCGCTTTGCAGCCCACCAAGTCTATCGCACCCCTGCACCAAACTACCCCGGAAAGTGGAGGGTAACATAGGAAAGTAGCTTTGATACCAAGTGTTATGAGTTGTATGAAAGAAGGGTGCTCGAATGCAATTTCGCGGAAGTGATTGCAGCTACTCAGCAAACAACGAGGCGTAGGCATAATATAGCGAAGCTAGCTAGGCCCAGGTCACGGAGTCGCGCGAAGGTTGGGTGCAGGTTTGGGGTTGAAGGTGATGCGAAGGACGTTCGGAAGGGAGGTCGGCGGACCAAGCATGAACTCCGGGAAGTTGGAATTGTACGCGTATGGAGTGCCCCTCTGAGGAATTAGCAAAATTTCTTACACCGCTAATGTAATGTATCGTGGTTCCGCATGACCGCACTTTTCCAGAAGATCCGAGGTTGTTGAGGTTTTGATCCCAGGCAAACCGACTGCCCCGGACATCGCGCATTTTCCCCTGAGGGGAACACCGTACCTGTCGGCGCGTAACAACCCATAGCCCGCGAGTGGGTGCGTGCAACCAGCCAGGGCAAGTGCCCACCTGTCGAGCCGCACGAGACGGACCACCAGATCTGTGCCGTTGATGCAGTTTCCTCCAGATGTATCGCACAAACGGACGGTTAACAGAGGAGTCACCTGGCCGAGCCACCTGTTCCCACAGCCCCACCACTTCCAGCGAATCGCCAGACATCCCATCCCATCCCTCCCACGTCGGTGCTGCTGAAGCGGTCAAGCGGCATCTCCCCTTGCCAAACGTGCCTTGCCTTGCCTCACTGCCTGGTGCGTACAACATGATCAGTTCGGTGACAAGAATCACTCACCCGCACAAAAAATAAATCAGGTACCAGAAAAAACCTTCTCAGAACCAGCCGAACCGAATAAAACCGAAGCGATTTTGCTGGCGCTTCGTGATCCCAGCCTGAGCTCCTCGCTCCCAGCAAAATGAAGTGCCTCATTGCTATTATCATCACTCCCAAGTATCTCCTTCACGCTCTCAGCTAGAATCGTTCATCTCATCCCATCTTTTGTTATCATTCCTTCCTTCTGCTCTCGCTTCGACTCAATAAGTCTTCCTTGCTTCCTTCTTCATACTTCAAGATGGCGATCCGATCTGTTCGACTTCTACTGCTAACCGTCGCGCTAGTCTCGCTAGCGTCAACGGCGGCGGCGGCGTACGACGCGGTGGCGGGCTTGAAAGCGATTGAAACCGCGTTGAAGAATAAAAACTACCAGTCCGTCATCACGCTCATGAAGACAAGCAGTAAGTGACACGCCAAGTCTAACGCAAGACCTGCACTCGCTTTGTATCCTGTAAGGCGTTTTGAAAAGCAGAAACGCAGTGAGCGTCACGACAGGTCGAGAGCAACACCAGCACAGGTCGACAGGTCGACAGGCCGGTATTTCACTCGGCTCGGCAAGATGTCGTTTCGAGTGGAGTTGCTTCTAAGCTGCCGGCTTTTAATAGTTTACTTATGTGTTCCACTCACTACTCGCTCGAAAGCCCTGATCCGGAAACGTAATGTGTCAAGTTCGGCACAAAGCTCGCAGCAACTTTCCGTTTTTCATATTAGGTGGATCCGTAAGCGGCTCTTTTTGCGAGGATAATTTCACAGCCTACTAATATCGTTACTGCCTCCGGCTCGCAAGCAGTAGTCAACAGTAGGCAACGGCGCATCGATTCTGTGAGTGACGAGCCATGGTGCGTCGTGTTCTGTCGTGTTTTCCCATCAAACGTAGCGTCATGTGGGTCTTATCCATGCTCCCTCATAGCCATTTCGTTGTCCGTCGTTTCGTTATCCGTAACTTGTCTAATCACCGCCTTTCGCACCCTCTCCTGTTGTACCGAACCGGTCACTTGTATATGAACGCAAATCAGTTGTGAAAGTCACAACATTCCTACAAACAAAAACTGCCTCTATCGTCACTCATTCCTTCGCAATGACAACACTGCCCCTGTAACACGTGACGCTGCATTCGTTTCCTATTTTATTTTCTCTTCGTACGAGCTCCTCTCACTATTTCTCCCTCACCCCTTTCTCTCCTTCCCTCCCCTCCTCTCTCAAT